CTGCCATATACTGTTTAGAATGATTAGGAAGATTAAAGTGTCTAGCGACAACTTGGGTGTCTTTCAGATCGAGGATTTAGTAGGCTACTTAAGGCCTTATCATGTTTTCCCCAATGTACCGCCAGCAGGACTGGACACATTAGAAGATGCTTTTGAAAGGTAAGCTAACACCATGTTAGGTTTGGTAACCAAGTAAACACGAGCGCGGGCGTATCTTGGTAATAGTTGTTGCCAGTTTCAATTTCTGACTAGCGTGTTTTAAACGGCAAGGATTAGTTAATTAGCGCTATCAATCTTAAGATCTCATTAATAATTCTCCCTATTTTTTACCATACAATTCTTATGATGTAAGTTTGGAGAATTTGATATTGAATCAACTAATAATCCCCTTACTGATATTTTTCTTATTCTCCTCACTTGTCTGCTTGATATTGTATCGATATTGTAAGGAGAAATTCTGTCTTGGTCACTCATGGGAGTTAAAGGGTTAGGGAGGTGTCGTGTTATCTTGGTAGTGTGTTACATATAAACGCAGTATGTGGCCTAGCTCACCATCCTGTTCTCTGTAGCTTAGTAGTGGAGCATTGTAATGTGAAATTTTAAGCTTTGGGGTTCAACTTCAAAAAAAGGGACCTAGCCTGATTTCTTTCTTTGTCCTCAGCTCGTTACAACTCGAGTAAACAGCGTTCTTTATCCAAATTTCTCGCTAGTCTCAGGCCCTCAGTCAGTGGAAAGGTGCTTAAAAGTGGGTACGCGAAAACAGTAGGGATCTGGAAAGGAAAAATATTACAGCCGTTTCTTTGACAACCATGCACAGCCGCCGTTTTTGTTCGCCTTTTCTTTAGCTGGCCTTCATTGACTACTTAAGGCCTGGAACAAGCCCTCGACGACTGAGTAGCAGTATTTTATTAGACCTACAATTTTGCCTTTACTTCAAGTAAATTTCCTAACAATAATTGAAAAATAAGATTGCATCATTTCGAAAATCATTTTTTTTTATCGCAGACTGAAGGGCCTCACTCGCATTCAAGATTGTGATTCCTGTAACCAAGAAGAGTCTGTTGAGGAGAGATTCAAACAACACGCTGCTCATCTCAGCGGAGAGGGTGTCACTAAAGACAAAAAATTATTAGAGGAGAAAGCTGCCTTGAGAAAGATTCAGCTTTGCGCCCCACCAAAGCCTGACGAGAGGGGTACGTAGAATTTCGTTCACGTTGGTCGATCTCCCTATTCATGTGATCCGATGAAATGATCACGTTGTTCTTCGCCGAGCAGTATGTTTCCAATTTATTTTTTCCCTCCCATCCTGTGTCTCACTTAACAGGATCTGTATATTAGATTAGTTTGCAATTCCAAGGTTTTATGTAGAATTAGGAATGAATGGCGGAATATTTCAGATCACTTCTCCGTAGGGTTGCAATGAAAGCCGCTGACCGGCACGGTACCTCCAACCATAAGACCTCTCACCACCGTCAGTTCTTTTATCAGCCGTTTACAGGAAGACGTATTGAAATCCTAGCTTACGTCCCTTAAGTCGATCAGTTGGATTTTTCTTTTGTTCTTTTCGAAAATGTTTTTTTTTTATCTTCTTATGAGCGCTGAAATGGATTGTCCCTCTTCATCCTTTCTGTCTCTTCCTACTCAGTTCTTTTCTAGCCGCTTTGTCTCCATTCTTCCCGCTGGTTATCGCTCTCTGTGTCCCGCCAGTTTTATAATACCTTTCTCTTGATGTTTTTTTAGCCGACTGTCAAGTCCATCGTTGAGGTTCTCGTGTGTCATGTCTTGATTCTGTTACAATGTCATTGCCTCCATGAGCATTCAGGAGTTCTAGATCTGTATCGGTTGTCTTTTTTTTATTTCCCACACTCAGTTTCTTGGTTTCCGGTTTGCTGTTGTAAAATTAACGTTTCTCCGTCTACAACATAATTGAAATCTGCGAACAAGGATTAAGACTTGGAAAAAGTACGAAGTTTTACCAGTTAACGAGTTACAAGTTGTCAAACCAGAGAGAGAGGGGGGCTATCTTGTAGTAACGGGGAATGTTCACAACCAATTTCCATTTGTAACAATGTCTTACATAAAGCAGCCGCTATACATAAAGTTAGTTTCTCTATGTGTTTACTAGTTCTTGCCCAGTGTAAGGAGCTGGGACTAATTGATGACGAGAACCTCACACCACCTCCAAAACGACGTAGAAGCAGACGTCAAGGTATAGCTCTGGAGGAGAAAACCTCTGTGCCACAGGACACCCAAGGAAGCTCTTCCAGAAAGGTCATCATAAGCGTGTCACAGGAAATCCAAGGGAACTCCCTCGCTGGGGTAAACACAACAATACAACAGCAATCTAATGAGAAATCTTTTGGTGAAGTCACCACTGTTTCACCGCAAACCCACGGGGAATCATCTAAAGATGTTGATAGAAGTGTGTCACAGCACGCCCACAATAACGGATACGAGTTCATAACAGAAGGAAAACCCATGATTTGTCCAAAAGTTGAAGATGTCCAAGACAGACCGACGGAATTTTTCGAGAATTCATGTTGTCCTCCTAAAACTGAAAAGAAAGCTGGAGATGAAAACCCCGCGGAATGTAAAGTATCTGAAATTTTGAGCAACACAGTTGTCTTGGAACGTACTAGTCATGGTCAAAAATCTTTAGATGGTATTGCTTCTAATAAAATTGACCACAATCGTACTTCGGACACGGGGATGACATCGAGTATTCCAGTCTCAGTTGTAGAGCTTTCAGGGTCAGATGAAAACTATGACGAGGGACCAGTGGGTGGGGAGCCAAGATCGAAAGCAGACTTTGATATCCCTCCCTCCCCGGGGCATGTAAAACCACTCCCAGACAAGCTGTCTGCAATTCACAAACTGTTAGGAAATGGCGAATCAATGTCGATTACAAATATACTCAAATTTTGAGTCGGAAGTACGTCAAATCTCATCGATAACTATTTTTTTTCTTTGTTCAATTTTTTTTCTGGCCTCAGTAGTTGTTGCTTGTTTTTATTATTATTATTATTATTGTTATTATTATTATTATTCCATCAGAGTGTGTTTCTGTTACTAATGTGTTTTTTCTGCAGTGTTTCAGGCCTTACTTGGCCTTTCAAAGTTAACTTATTGTAGCTTACAGCAGCAAACAAACAATTTATAGTCAGAATAATCAAAGAGAAGAAAGAAGAAGTTTCTTTTTTTGTGATAACATTAACAATCAACGTGGTATTTTTACGATAAACTAAGACCAGAAAAATAAGTCGTATGCATACGGCTCATCTACGAAAGTAACCTTAATTTTGTAAAAGCCTGCTTCTCTATCTACACATGAAGTCACCTTCTGAATATATGGACGTTTTTAGGGACTTGTTATGGAAGAAAAAAGGAATCAATATTGCAAATATATTTCTTATTGCCATCTTCTGTTTTAGACATGCAACACATACCCATTTTCCTTGACAGCAAAACGGAACCATTATCAGTACTACCAAAAAATTATCGCTATAAGCTTCCCGATCAGCCGTCGTTTGATTAAGTCACCCATTCGCCTCCTCTCCGTTGTTTATCTGAACAACAGCTTTTTAATTATCTGTCTTTAAGGATAGCCACACAACACGTTACATTCCCTAATGTATACGTAACGACTAAGGAAAGAGTTTGAAAGAAAATAAGTTTTGCTAGAACAAATGCTACTGCTGTTGCCAAAGGAGATTAGTTAATATGTTATTTATTTATATAGGAATTTATCACAGCTTAGTTTTCGCATTGCATTACTTTACATCAATTTAATATAAATTTAGAGATATTTACAGAGTCGTAGAGATTTTAGTCTCTTATTATGGCACTTGTTAGATTTTAACGAAAATGTTATCTTAATATGAGTTACAATGCTTATTCAGGTATCAACTTAATTGATTTCGGCAATGCTCGCTACACCTTGCGGATCAATGTCATATTTAATATTTAATTATTTATGATAGTAAATTAATTCATATATAATTTACTATCATTTTAATTTATGAAAATGTATGTAGATTGTTCTAATACGTCACACATTGAACATATATTTATCGATTATTATCATCATGATTATGATTGCCGCTTTCATTATTATCTGTAAGAAAGTTCATCGTGTATTATATTTGATTCGTTCCCGTATGGCGCCATCGTATAATTTAACCCCCACCAAGCAGCACCTAAATAGCAAAGCTTGTTGACAATTGAGTTTATTTGGGATGGGCCTGGCAAAAACCAACCCAAAACACTGTGCGACAGTACAAAATCTACAAGAGCTTAATATGGGAATTAGGCAAAGTAAATTGATATGAGTGTTGGTCCTGAAGTGGTATAACACGCTATCACGGCTACTTGGGTGACTTCCATGCAGAACTTGCCGTTATCTGCGCAATCTTTCCGTCCCACTGCCAGTTACTGAACTTAAATCTAAAAATAAACCTACGTGTACGATGAATCATGCCAGTTAGACTGTTTAGGCCATTGGGCTGATGAACCTGTAAATCAAATAAACCTGGCATACAAATACCAGTTAGGCTGGGAAGTCCTCTACTTGAATCGAAAAAAACCTTAATGTAAAGGTGTACGAACGCAACAAGCCCGTTAGGCTAAAAAACAGCAAATAGGGCTACTATGCAAGTGCTTAGTAGTGCTATACTCAAGAGCAACGGTACCGATCAACGAGTCACCGAAATCGAAACACTTAAACTTAAAGATTTAGTTAAAGACGTAAAAAACAGAAAACAAGAAACGTTGCATTCTTCTGGTAGACGGAGCTAAGAAGCCGCTAACAATAGAAGAGCGATTAAAGGCCAGAAAAAGCCTGCTCAAAAAACGCAATGAGGAAAAACCAGGCGGGAAATCTGGGTAGGGGCTGAGGATCTAGCCCCGGAAACTATTTGCCCATCCACCGGGGGCTTCACAAAGGCCGTGCAGTGTTTCGTGCCGACAAAACAATAGCATTTCTGTAATACCGGGGCAGTGGACGGCAAATCCGCGGGAAATCGAGAAGCTTAAAATTACAGGGATTTGAGATAAAGGGGTGGGACCCCTAGGGATTAAAATGTCCCTCCCCCCTTGCTCCACTACCCGCCAGAAACCTCCCTGTGCTTAAGAATTGGAAGACGCTCCCTCTTACGCAGCCCAACGTTGCGTTACTCAAATTCCCAAAGAAAATTCCTCAGCTTTAAATCTCCTAGCAGACAAACTAATCCAATACTACTTGCAGTTCTATGAGATAAACATTTATTATATAAAAAAACTATATTTCTAACAATATAAAAACTTTGTCTATACAGAGGGTTGGTAAACAAAAAAAAATAACGATCATTTAAGAGCAAAAAACATAAGTGGATCAATAAAAAAAATTAAACCTCTCCAACAAAAAGCCCTTCTATTTCCTCAAGTGAATTAATTTGATTAAACGTAAGTAATCCTCCAATCCATGCCTAAAGACACATATTTTTTGCAAACGATAGAATATTCACAAAAAATAGCGAGAGATAATATTGACATCTCAGTATATCTATAATTCCATGTAATCAGCATTATTTGTCGATATTGCAAGCAATAGAAAATTTGATCGGTAAACCTCTACCGTCTTCTGATTGTCGAGAGCTTCGAGTTTGTGGTCGGCCGTTCGTAAGTAGGCCTTGAAAAAGCGATGGACACCAACACGAACTCGTCAAACATTGTACGAGTGAGTGAAATATTTGCAAGAAGTTTGTTAAAAAATCGCCTGGTAATCGTGAATGAATAGGAAAGCTTTTAGTTCGTAATGTTTTGTGAATCGAAGACAAAGATGAACAAACGAGGAATAAACGAGCAAAACTTGTGAGGCATGTTCACCTCTACAAATTCGGACCATTTACAACGTTCTTAGACTAGAAGCTTTTGACATTTTATCTAACAATTTTAAAATAGGACTAAACAATAACTATGGCCAGAGCTGTTGAGTGTCATTGTGTCCAAAATTTGTCCAAAATGTTCGTGAAAGCTTGGGTCTGCTCTTAGTTGCACGATTGAAATCGGAAAGTAAGCCTTGTTTACCCAACTGAAAAATCAAGTTTAATTATACAGCGGTTAATTTTTTGTACCAAAACTATACTTTTCAAGTCTTTCTCTATATATATAACGGTAAAACTTTGTAAATTTATAATAATTCTAAAGCATTTGATATTTTCCTAGGCACAGCTAATATAAGGTATTCCAATTAGTAAAATGTCCTTCTTAACGTTCTCCATCTTTCGCAAAGAAACCTTGACATTACGTCCAACATCTTTGCGTGACTTGCACAGCGTGACTTGCACAGCGTGACTCGGACCTAACGCCCTGGACGGCGTTACTTCAGTGCGTGACAACAATTATTTCATGATTGCATCGTGGTCGCTTTCTTAAGTTCGCGTATCCACCTGAAAAAGTCAAACAAAATAAAGAGTTATTGCACAACCTATAGTAATAGTTATCTTTATGTGACACAATCACAGATAGAATTGAAAAATATTGTTTCCGTTCGGAAAAGAGGTAGATCTGTTCATTTACCTTGTTGCAGAGTTTTCGTTATCTGCCTTGAAAACTAACGGTGAAATACCATGGTGTTTGAGTTGAAATACAAAATCATTCCCTTCCTGAAAACCAGTGACACACATAAACACACGTGAGAAAAAAGTATCAATTCCATCTTAACGGATGCACAGAAAGTCATCGGTGAAGTCAGAGCGCTTTTCGATTGAGGGTCATTAAATCGAAACTAAAGTGATTGCAACAACCAATCAGAAGGAAGGAAAATACCCTGAAAAGCCACTCAAATCTCAGAGTAAAAAAAAGCAAAAAGCCTAAAGCGCGGGAAAACGCGGACGAGGTGCTAGGTTTGCATCTGATTGGTTTAGAGCGTGGCGCGAGTTGTTTGGACTAATCATGGGGCAAAGTGAAGCAAAACCAGTACATCCGGATTACTTTCGACACTCAAGGTTATTGAACATTGCTCTAACAGCGTATTAGTTTCAACTCGGCGTTAAATCACCCCTCTGATTGGTTTACAACTGCGAGCCAATCGCAGCTTAGTGTACTACTATTTAGCCAATCACAGACGAGTGCTGTGTCAGTCATACCTTGACCCCTAGCAGTTTTCCCGCGCTTCTTCACTCGAGTTTACCAATAATTTTCATTGAAATTCACTTGACTTTCAGTTTCCATATCCCAGTACAATGAGTTATATCTTTCCAAATTATCCCATTAGCTTAAAAGACAACGTCTGACTCTACTAAATTTTCATAAAGACGCAAAATACTTAATTAAGATAAGTAAACGCACCTTGCCAAGATCTTCAATTTCATAACTCAAGACTGGTTGACTTTCCAGCGCCACAACATCCTACAATTTCAAATTGATCAGAAAAACCAAACTCAGTAGTTAGACACGGTAATCACACAAACAAGTTCATCAACAGCCAGCAACTATCCAAACAATTCATCCTTTCCTCTCTTGGGTATTCAATTATTTCTCCTATCTGCGTTTTAGTCTTGAGGTTTTTTTCACATTTCCTCCATCTTATATTTCTCACATTCCCTGCCTTAGACGCGTACCACAGATTTCCCGCGCTACCAACTTGCGTCTCGTTTCCCGCTTTTTTCCACTTTCGAGATGAACACTTTTTTCCTTTTTTCTTTTTTGGCTTGTTTATGTTTTAATTGTTTGTTTTCGCTCATAATACTGACTGAAAACGAGATTTCATATTTTTAGATGTAAACAAACGGTAACTTTTTGTGGTTTCAAAACTTCGTTAACATCTTTAACTTACTGAGCTGGCTTTGTACGAATACAAAACATTGTCCTTCAGCACAAACCACGACTTCTTCCATCCAAATTTTCCTTTCTTGTATTTTAAGTAGCCACTCATTTGACTTCCTTCCTGATTAGCGACGACCTATTGAGAGACAAAATATTTCAGATGTCAAATAAAAAATCCTTGTATCAAGCACGGGAAAAAGATTGACAAGGTCGGGCGCAATTCTAGTCTTGCATCTGATTGGTTGAGAAAGCATTTTTCTCCACCAATCAAAGAGCAAAGTAAACAAATTAAAACCAAAGCAATCCCACAGTACTTTAGACATTCACTGACCTCTGTTAAGTGCGACGGATGCATTATTGTCGATTTTCTTTTTGTTTTTCTACTCTTAAATCGTCGCATCATTTCAAACTTGGTCGGTTTTCGTAGCAACTTCTCTGCGTCTTCTGCCTCTTGAAGCAACGGGGGAAGCGTAGACGTAGGCGATTCTTCCTCTACTGCTTTCATTTCAACGGTGTGGAAATCTGGAAAGGAGGAATTGGCGTTGTAAGCTGTCCTGCACAGAGTAAATTGTTATCCCGTGTGTTTTGCATTGGATTTCACTATAACGCGTGTTAGACACAATTAGAGTGCTTTTGGATTGGGTGTCGCAAAACCAAAACCAAAGTAATCACAACGGCCAATCAGAAGAAAGGGAGATACCTTGAAGAGCCAATGAGAAGTCAAAGTAAGAACAACTAAACTGCCTAAAGCGCGGGAAAAACGCGGGCGACCAAGTCGTGATTGCTTTTCCTTTTGCATCTGATTGGTTGAGAGGATGGCGCCAGTTTTCACAGCCAATCACAGGGAGTTAGAAAGTAAAACCAACGCAATCCCAAATTACTTTCGACAATCGATGGAAAATTGCTCGAAACTGCAATTCTCGCAAGGTCATTATTTTTTTCTTTTCGTTACATCGTGAAAGTTGACGAGCCTCTTTATCAGTATCGCACTGAGCCAATTTGAAAAAAAATTAGCTGTTGAAAAGGGGTGCTCAATAAGGGAAATAAAACGGCTGCCGTATTGGGGAGGAATTATTCTTAAGAACATTTCTCGCGCTCACCTTTTAAAAGCAGGTCATAGCACTTGTCGCAAACCCTAGCCTGGTTGTACTCCAAGTATGCCAGTGGAGCGGTGCTTTCCGAACAAGCCCCACAAACAACCTGAAACAATAGAGAGGTCCTCTTCTCAGTCCTAAATTTCAAATGAACCGTCACGCACTCGAAAATCCGAGTTAATATTTCCCATCTTCGACTAGTTTGCCGCTTTCTTGTCGGTTTTCTTTTTATCGCTCAGGTGCGTTTCTAACTCAGAAAAAGAGCAATTTTAACTCTTTGACCTCTTAGAGTAACCAGCATCTAATTGCTCCTTACAATATCACCACTGAATTGCACAGCACGGTCAAGACCATAAAGGAAATGATCACCTACGAAAGAAGCTCTTTATAAATTCTCCTTGTTAGCACGTAAGGAAATGTACGGAGGACAGTAGGAAGAATATGCATACTGATGTTAAGGTGTAAATAGTTAAAGAATTAAGCGTAAAAAACTTAACATACACAAAACATGAAGTGTCTTTTTAGAGCCTAACCTGTCCTTACCTACACCAAACTACCGCGCACAGTTTTTGTGGGGAAGAGGGTGAGGAGGTCATTGACAAAATACAATCCATGGAATCTTGAGTTCGAGATTGAACGACATGAAACTGAATTTTCAGCACGCTGTACTTACGTTTCCACAAGCTCTGCAGTGATGCCTCCTGTTGGTGAGAGTAAATGGAGACGTACAGCTCATGCACATTGTAACACGGTGATCCGGAATCCACACAGGGGCTTTCTCTCCGAGTTTCATGACCTCTTCGTCCCTCTCTTGCACTCCCTTCACAATAACGAGAACATTAAACGGATTCAGATTGTAAAAATTATTAGGAGGGGATTACAAAACCTCGTAAATGTAAATGGAAAGATGGAGAAAAGACCCCT